CCCAGAAAAGTATGGCCTGCAAAGTAAATAATGGGAATGTTTGTAAATCAAGGCACACACACACACACACCTTGCCTGCTGCATGTGCGTTCGTGTTTGCCTTTTCCCGGCTGCGGGTCAGGCTGGGCCATTCCAGCAATATAAATACGCCACGTGTTCGCGTGCAAGCAGGTGTCGACCCCGTAGTCGAAATTCGCGCCTGCACCGCCTTGGACCCCTGGAACCTTTGCATCCCTCATCGACGGTTGCCTCGGCATTGGCCCCTCACCACCGCTGGCACCTGCAACCTCGTCGTCGTGGCGTCGCTGCCTGACAACTCCGCACTTCGACTGCAGCGGGCCCTCTCTCGTTGGGGCACTCGCCTCTGCGCTCGGGACTGCTCAGCACGGAGCTATTGCACATCCACGGTACGGGCGGCCCCTGGCGCGAGGTACCACCCGATTCGCACCCACCGCCCTCCTTGAACGAGACGGCTGAGGAGGAGGGAGGGAGGAGGAGGAGGAGGAGGAGGAGGAGGAGGAGGAGTAAGCGGTAGAAGAGACGGAGCAGGAAACTCTCTCATGTTGCTTCCCTTTCCTTTCTCCTCGGGCCCTCTCCTCCCGTTTCCTCCTCCCCCAACCTCGTCCCCTTCCCCCCTCAGCAGCAGCCACGCCTTGCGACACTTGCTCTGCACTCTGCTCTCTACCTTGTCTGCTCCTGGGCAGTTCGCTGATTGACCCCTCGTCCTGAGTGTGTGGCGCAGTTACGTCTCCGGGTCCAGGTTGCGGACCTGGGCGATCAACGGCGTGTTGTGCCTCGTGTCCCTGGTCACCAGCTGCCTGTACCCCGTGCTGGTCGACCTCTCCAGGACCCGCAGGGGCCCCTCTGCTCTCTCGGCCACTCATACTCCCGCTCCGCGCTCATACTCCCACGCGGTATCGTCGTTTATCCGCCTTCCTCGTGCTCTCCCCATCCACCCGTTCCTCAGCTATCATCCTCCTCCCTTCCCTTCACCCTCTCTCGTGCCCCCCTCCTCCCTGCTGCTCCTCCTCGTCTCTCTCTCTCTCTCTCTCTTTCTCTCTCTTACTCTTTGTCTCGCCCTCCCTTGGTTTGGTTTCTCTCTCTCTCTGTCCCCCTCGCTCTCGCTCGCTCTCTCGCGTTTTCTCTGTCAGATCGTATCCGTTATACAGATACATATGTATATGTATCTCTATATATATAGATTGCCCTTATACCTCTCTCTCTCTCTCGTTGTTTCTCTCTCTCTCTGCCTGCCTGCCTCTCGATCGCTTTCTCTCTCTCTCTCTCTCTCTATCGTTCTCTCTCTCTCTCTCTCTTTCTCTCGCTCTCTCGCTCTCTCTCTCTCTCTCTCGTTCTCTCTATCCTTTTTTGTTTTTCTCTCCTCTCTCTCTCTCTCTCTCTCTCTCTCTCTCTCTCTCCCCCCCCGTATGTTTGTATGCATGCCTCGCTCTCTCTCTCTCTATATATATACATATATAGATATGTGTGTATTGCTATGTCGCCCTCTCTCTCTCTCTCTCCCTCTCTCTCTGTCTATATGTCTGCCTGCCTGCCTACATGTCTATTTCTACATGACTCCAAACGTATACATATACACGTGCATATGCTTGTGGATATATATATATACACATTATGCATATACATATGTGTATACGTAGGTCTGTGGTACATCCATGAATGTAGATGTAATTATCTCTCTCTCTCTCTCTCCCTCTCTCGCTCTGTCGTTGGATGGACATCTATGGATAGCCCTTGTTCCGTTCTTTACATATAGAGAGGGGATGTGTACATATCGAAGAAGACGCCTACGGCGAATCACCGCCGACCCTTGCTTGTTTGGAAGCGCCTATGTGGCCGAACGTTGTGGCCATGGCTCGGCCAAGCTATCGGACTATGTGTTCCCCCTGACCGTTGTGGAAGCCCTTCGGGGAACACGGGGGAGAGAAAGAAGGAGAAAATATAAGGAAGAAGAAGACGCAGAAGAAGAAGAAGAAGACGAGGAGGACTGGGAGGAAAAAGGAGGAGGAGAAGGTTTCTTGTCTTGGGAGCCTATTGGAGCACTATTGGGGTCTCCGGGGAGCTTCCTGGGGGCTTCTTTGAGGCCCTTTTGGGGCTTCCTTGGACCTCTTGGGGGCATTTGGGAGCTTCGTGGGGGTCTCTTTGGCCGTCGTAGGGTGTTCCTTGCACGCCTAACGCAGTCGGAAGCCGTATTGGGTTGCTCCGATTCTGTATACTCGAGTGGTCTTCGGCCCATCCCGCCACCGTGAGGTCAGAGGCCTCCTGGATGGCTGTGGGGATGGGAGGCCTCTCGGATGCTTCTTGGAGGCGGTTTCTGGGTGGTCTTGGGGGGTCTTGGGGGCCTCTTGGGGGCCTCCTGGGGCCTCTTGGGCACACCTCGGGGGCGTGTCAGGGGATCTTCGGCCATGTTGGGACGGAGCGCTCAAAAGGTTAGCTCGTGTTCCCCATCTTGGGCCCCTCTTGGGGGCCTATTGAGCCCCTCTTGGAGGCCCTTGGGCCGATACTGTGCGCCTTTTGGACCGTCTTGGACGCTCAGACCGAAAAGGCTGCAATGCGAACACCATACCACCATACCAAAACCAATGGATGTTGACAACTTTGGCCCCTGGGGTCGCCTTCCAGAGCCTCCGAAACAGCTCAAGAGGCGCCTAAGAGGGCTCCAGGACGGTCCGTGGGGCCGTGTGGACCATGCTGGACATGCATGTCCCGAACAACGCGCCTGGTCTCTCGAAAAGTCACGCGGGGACCCCCCAGGAGCGCCTGACAGCGCCCAGAACTCCGCGCCGTGGGCTCCTCGAAGAACATTTACAGAATTCAATATATAGAGAACTCGAAGGGACCTGAGGACACCCCAACTCGAAGGGACCTGAGGACACCCCAACTCGTGCCTCGGGACACGGTGGCGGGTAAGTGCACACCTAACATATAGCCACATGTGTGAATCAGGCTCGTTACATCTGTATGTGTGTGAATACAGATGCGTATGGACATGTGCGTGTGTGTATGCATGGGTGTGTATGTGTATATATATGTATATATATATATATATATATATATGTACATGTGTGTGTACCTATGTATATATATATATATGTGTATATATACATATATATATATGTATATATATATATATATCACAGATGTGGGGGGGGCATTCCTTCACGTCATCCTATACCCTCCTCTCGAATCCTTCCTCCTCCACCACTTCTCCCACCTCATCCCTCCCCCACATCCTCCACAATCTGGTGGCCGTCGGCACGCCGCCAATGGGGCCTGGGCCGCGGACCAAAAGCCTCTCAGATACCGTTTTGGGTATTGGAGAGGCCTGACGGCCAGTGCCGCCGACCCTGATCGAAAGGGCTAGGAGTGGGGGGAGGAAGCGGAGGAGGAGGAGGAGGAGGAGGAGGAGGAGGAGCAGGAGCAGGAGGAGGAGAAGGAAGAGGAGGAGGAGGAGGAGGTAGTGGCCGTCGGCACGCCGCCAATGGGCCTGGGTCGCGGACCAAGAGCCTCTCAGATACCGCTTTGGGTATTCTGAGACGCCCGTAGGGAACCGCATACACCCTAGGCGATGCTTAAGAAAACCCCAGTTTTCGTCCAGAGTCTCGATTATTCTTAACTTTTCAATGTAATCCTCAAGATTTTCATAGAAATTCTGGGCTTTTATTCAATTCCTGAGGCTGTGAATTTCTTAACCCATGATTTCTTAAGCATTTCGCAGGGTGTAGGGAACCCCATACTGGGGTCGGCATCTTTGAGGTATCTTGAGGGCTTCCTGGGGAGTTCGTCGGAGTCTCTGGGGAGCCTCTTGGCCGCCTGTGTTGGGGGGGCGTCCTGTGGTGGAGGTTTTGGAATGTTAGTTTGAGTTCCCCCGTTGGCCTCCTCTTGGGTCCGTCTTGGTGGGCATAGTGATCCCCTCCTGAGGGCTCGGTAAGCCGTGCGTCCCGGGACGATATTTAAATTGTCTTGGGCCTTCGTGGGCGACAGTGAGACCGAAACGGCGAGCGCCTTGGGAAAGTTCGCTCAAAACAAGAAGTAGTTCTATGGTTTTGACATTTTAGGCTGGCCCCGGGGGGTCCCAAGATGGCTTGGGATGGCCCAAGAGAGCCCCAGGACGGGCACGCTGGAAGTTTAGAGACTCCGATCCACGCCCCCGAGGCCTTCGGAAAGGTCACGCAGGAAACTTCAGAAACGCCGAGAGGCGCCCACACCCCGAGTGTCCAAGGCCACGAAAGAGGATTTGCATTACCCGATAGGTATTGAGGAATACGTTCATTTGTGGGCACTTCACTCGGTGATTCTAAAATCGTGGCCTCCATAACACTCCTCGTCTCCCCACTCCAGCTTCCTCCCACTCCCATCTTCTTTCGTCCTCCCTCCTCCGCGCCCTTCCTCATCCCTTCTCCCCCTGCATCCCTCCTCCGCGGTCCTCCTCCCAGACATGCGGTGCTTTGATTTTTCGCGAGAGCGCGTTTTGTGGTCGCTTGGAGGGGGGGGAGGTTTGGAGCTGGACCCGCCCCCCCGGATGGAGGGGGGAGGGTTCGACTCCCCTCCCCCCTTCCCGTGACGGAGGGGGGGGGGTCGAACCCCCCCCCCATTCCCCTACTTCTCCTCTCTCCCTCTCCTCGGCTGGCGGCGGCGACGGCGGGAACGACGATTTTCTTTTTGGGCCGGCGCCGGCGCCTGCGGCGGCGGGCGGCGGCGGCGGGGAGCGTCGACGAGGACGACGGTGGTGGTGGTGATGGTGGGTTGTGGTGGTGGTGGTGGTGGCGGTGGTGATGGTGGTGGTGGTTGTGGTGGTGGTGTGGTGGTTTGTGGTGGTGGTGGTGGTGTGTGGGTTGAGGCGGTGGTGGTGGGTGGGTGGTGGGGGTGTGGTGTGGTGGTGGTGGTGGTTGTGGTGGTGGTGGTTTGGTGGTGGTTGGTGGTGGGTTTGTGGTGGGGGCGGGGTTTGTGGAGGTGGTGCTGTGGTGGGTGGTGAGTGCGTTGGTGGTGGTGTGATAGTTTGTGGGGTGGTGGTTGGATGTGTGCTGGTAGCGGTGGTGGTTGTGGCGGTGGTGCCGGAGTGGAGATGTGGTGGTGGTCGTGGTTGTGGGTTTGTGGTGGGAATGGTGAGTTGTGGGTGGTGGTGGTGGTTGGGTGGGGTGGTGGCTGTGGTGTGAGTGGTTGTGTGGTGGGTGGTGGTGGGTGGTGGGTGAGGCGGTGGTGGTGTTGGTAGTGGTGGGGATGGTTGTGGTGTAGTGGTGGTTATCGTCGCTGCGTCCCCGCCGTCGGCGGCGCCAGCGCCGGCGCTGCTTGCCGCCGCCATCGCCGGCGCCGGCGCCAGGGAGGGGGGTTTGAACCCCTTCCCCCCCCTTGGGCTGCCTATGGTCGTCGTCGCTACGTCCCCGCCGTCGGCGCTGCTTGCGGCCGCCATCGCCGGCGCCATGGGGGAGGCCGCCATCGCCGGCGCCATGGGGGAGGTGGTTCAAAGCCCCCCCCCCCGGTGGGAGGGAAAGGAGGGGGGGGTGTTCGGGAGGGGGGTGGCTTGAGGGGGAGGGGAGCCCCACTGGTTTTGATCGACAGCGCCGAGTGTGGGGGGGAGCCCACCCCCGGGTTCGAAACGCGCCGCCGATTGTTCCCAAGGCAAGCGCACGTGAAACGCGTTCTCTCGATTTCATATACGGGGGTCATTTCCCCAAGGCCGGTTCTTCGTCGCTCGAGTCGTTTTGCTTTCGGCCCCAGGGCCGCGAGGGCCCCCCCCTAGTACGAGTGAAAACGGGCAACAATCATCCGTCGCGCCTTTTGTCACGACGCGAAGGGATTTGGGCTTCTCTGCGGAAGGAAAGTACGCAATTCACAAAACAAAGATGCGTTTCATAAAAGGCGCTGCAAAACCTTGAAAATCGAAGGGAAGAGAAGAATCCCATACATGTCCGCGAAACAGTGGGGATCCGAATGGTGTCGATTTGACTTGTGTCCCCGGCCCCTTTAGCTTGGTTTCCTCTCTACGGCGCCGTGGAGCTGCGACGTCGCTTGTCATCGCGCTTGCATCAACTATACAGCGCGAGTCTTGGGCCGCAGCTGCTCCGACCACACCTGCGAGCCTCGTGTCGCGGCTTGGTCACGCGCCGAGGGGATCCGGGCATCCTCCTCTGCCTGGGGGTTGGGGTTGGGGGACGTACAATGTAAGGAAACGCGCAGTTTTGTGCTCGGCCTCCTGAAGAGGACGTCGTCTCTGCATCAGCGCCCCCATGGCTCGCCGAGGATGAGGGGAAAAAGGCGAGAGAGTAGCGGAAAAAAAAAGCGAGAGGGAGCAAGAGAAGACCCGCCAGTCTCAGGGAACGGGCGCAGGAGCTCCGAGGCCAGTGGGGTAAGGGCCTCCTCCGCCAGGACCGCCACCATGCTCGGGCCCGGCGGGGCTCGCAGACGCCGGCGGCTCCACCTACTGGTGCTGTCGGTCTCCAGGCCGAGGCGCTCTTCAACGTCGCCCTGGGCGTCCGGGTGGCGCCACGCAGGGGCCCGCGTCGTACAGGGTGCTGCTGAGGCCGGCAGGAGGAGGAGGAGGAGGAGGAGGAGGAGGGAGGAGGAGGCCTGGTCCAGGTCCACACCACAAGGTGCCCGCTATTACGCATCTGGGTGCGCCAAGAATCGCTCGCGGATTGAAGCCATTGTGCAACAGAACGTGGTGGGCTGGAGGCTTCGCCGTGCCAAGATGCCGCATGGAACTGCGTATTTCGACGTTGCCAATGCGCACCCTTCACCACCTCATTCTGATCTTGCCCGAGCCGTTCATCAAGCTGCCGACCCACACGACGCCGATTTATTATTACAACGCTTTCAGTATTCATGCATGGATATTGATGCTGCCGATGGGGTTGCACACGTAAGGCCAGGCTCGGGTGTTCTTCAAGGGGACACATATTCAGCAGAGATGTTCAGTGAGGTGTACCACCCTCGGTTGGATGCTTGGGACTCCGCAGTGCGACAGCCGCCATTACAGGCCCGACACCCGTACATCCCCGACCGCACGCACAATCTTGCGATGACATCCTACGCCGACGACGTCGCCAGAAAGATCATTTGCGGGTCTTTTCACAACTATCGTAGCACAATGAATCGTATCAACAATACTTTCGACACTGCCATTTCCCCTCTATGCCAGAACCGGGACAAACAAGAGCACGAATTCCATTCATATGGGCGCCACTCCCACCAACAGATGTACCGAGCTTTCAAGCGTCAAGAACTTCCTGGAAGAACGACTCCTGCTGCCCGTTACCTTGGGGACCGAACTAGTTGCTCGGGGGATCACAAGCCAACGATCGATCACAATTGCGCTCAGGCATACAAGGCGTGGTGTACATTTCGCAAGGTGTGGTTCAACAAGTCTTTACCAACGCGGGCAGTTCTTACAATGTTTCAGGCTTTAGTGTTGTCCGCTTTGTATTCTGGTCTGGAGGCGCTTGTTATGCGGCCGCACGAGTTCAAAAGGCTCGACGTGTTTGTGACGCCCCTCGGCCGCAAGTTGCTGTGCCATAGGGCTTGCACGAAGGAGGTCCTCCCAGATGGCACTGTTCGTTTTACGAGCATACCGAATACAGAGGTGCGGAAGAAACTTGGAGTTCCAGCTTGCGACGTTGAGCTTCGAGTTCGACGACTCAAGTGGTATCAAGAGCTGGTGCGCCGACCGAATTTACACAGTTGAATTATCACAGCATTGTTTGGCAAGTTTCCGTTCGAGACTGCACATACTATAACTCCTGATGGTCAACTGGGTCAAGCTGCCAACCCTTGGGCGAGACAGTTTTGGCACGATATTCTAGCACTGGCGCCCTACGACGATGCGCACTCCCTCATCGAGCGCCTTGACGACCGGCCCATGTCATTGTTCCAGGACCAGGGCAGTGCGGACATATTTCTGAGGGTTGATGTGTCGGTCTTGCGCGCCGACGCCCGTGCTGTTCGGATACCGCCGCCGGAGTTCCAGCCCCATGCCGATCCCCCTCCACCGCCACCTCCTTGCCCTGAAGATCATGTGTTCCCGTACGTGTGCAGGCGTTTACTAGATGACGGCACGGTATGCAACGCAGGTTTCCATACACGCAAAGGGCTTACAGCACATGTCTCGCATACTCGTTCTGGTACTCATGGCACTGTGACCCCTGCACACGCGGCCGCTGTTTCTAATGTGTGCCCGTGGTGCCGGCGCGTGTATAAGAACATGCAAACGGTGAAAGCTCACATACGGTCCTATCTATCACAAGGTCATTGTGTTGGACGTGGTAGCAGTACGCATGTGCAGCCAGTATCTTACACAGGTATGATTTGTATACAATGCGGGCAACAATTCGATACCATGGATGCATTGCTGGATCGCGTCATTACCCATTTCCCTGCCCCCTCAGCTGCGCCATCGTGACATGCAGGCTCAAAGATTTGGACAAAAAAACGATTTCGTCGTAACGCACTGCCTGTGCCTCAACAACAGTTTCGTCTTCTTTGGAGCCTCTGGAAATGGAGGCTTTCCTCAAGCAGAAGCGTGGCAACGATGCCGGACAGGGCGGCACCGCCAAAGTGAGAGGCGCATCTGCAGGCGACTCGCACGACGACCTCGTGTTGCGCTTGCTGGCCGTCATTTCGCAGCTCATCTTGAAGCACGCCCTCGAGATCCGCGAGCTGCAGGCCGCCACATTCCGTGTCATTCTTATGCCGGTGAGTGCTCCAGCGGTGCAGGCCATGAAGTCTGCGACAGCGCAGTTCGCCGAGGAGTCCCGCGCCGCCGCCGCCGCTGGGAAAGGAACGGCGCCTGTCGGCGAGCCCCGCGCCCACGCGTGGACGGCATGGGTGATGAACGCGGTGACCACGAATGCCCTGGAGGAGCAGCAGATGAAGCTTCTCTCGACGCACGCGACTGCTATGAAGACTCCCGACCACATTCTCCCACACATCTACGTCTGCAAGGTCAAGAAGGCGTTCGACAAAGGCCATGTGAAGGTTACCTTGCTACCAAGTCGACTCCAGACTGCCTGGCGCTGGCGGACGCCGCCATCGGCCACCTCCTCAAGCAGGGCGGCAAGGAGAAGAGGGGCCAGGCCCCGCGCGGTGGCAACGAACGCTCCCTCCAGACTTTGTACGATCAGCTGAAGGAGGTCGTCGGCGACAAGAGCAGCATGACAGATGTGGAAAGGTGACCGGGTTCTACGCCATTTTGGTCGTGCATGTTCGTTCCCAACTCGTGGTGGTAGACGTGCAGTTTCTGGAAGGCAGGTCGCATATCTTACTCAGTGATGGGTTTCTGAGTAGTTAGTAGACGGGGAGTCTTCAGATGCTGCATTTTGAAATGCGCCGGAATTGCCGCAACAATCCGGCTGGTTTAAAAAAGGGACGATTCCGTCGTAACGCTTTGCTCCCCCCCTCGCCTCCCTCGCCCCTCTCCGTTCGTTGCGGTACGACGGGCTCGTCGCCGACGTCTGCCCAGAGCTGCCGCCCAAGAGTGGCGGAATGTGAATTCAAGCTGTTTGAGGTGAATTGTGAACGACGTCTTCCCCCTTTGATCTGATATACTTCGCAGCGCCAGTCCCCTGATGTCCGAGTCGGTCTCGTGCTGGGGTTTGCCCCAGGAGGCCCGCTCGCAGGTTGTAGGGGCATCGCGCCGTAGCATCGCTGGCGCGCGCGGAGTGTGCCGCAACGCTGATCGAGAGCTTATGTTGAGCATAAGCCGCGCCCACCTGAGCAGGGATCCCTTTCGCACAGGTGGTCCGTCCGTCCGCCCTGGGCGTCCTGGTGATGGCCGCCACGCAGGGGCCCGCGTCGTACAGGGCGTTGCTGAGGCCTGGAGGAGGAGGAGGAGGAGGAGGAGGAGGAGAAGGAGGAGCAGGAGAAGGGGGAGGAGGAGGAGGAGGAGGAGGAGGGGGAGGAGGAGGAGGTATCGGTATCGCTCCGCTGAGTCCAAAAGTCGGATGGACTAGGGAGAAGTTCGGGGTTCCCCCCATCAAACCAAGCTCTCGGCTCTCCTCGACAGGAGGGCGCCAGCGACGGTGCCTTTCGGCAGACGTCGGCGCACGGCTGCACTCTCCAAGGCGGCTGCTGCGTACAGGCACGATTGCTCAAGACGCGATCAAACTCTGGCCCTCGAGCTCGAGGTAGCCCGCGGGCCTCGGGCCCGTGAAGACAGTGGCCTCATCCTTAGACGCAATTAAAAGCTGGACCACTGTTGCCTCCAGCACGGGGTCATTGATGGCAATCATGAGCCTGCGAACCTTCGAATCGAACATTTTTTCAGTGCGAAAAAGCTTGACAAGGAGCTGGGATTGCTGGCTGCCTGCAGCAAAAAAAAAAAAAAAAAAAAAAAAACAACTTGCGAAGCACTGTCTGCTGCTCAGCCGAGGCACGGGGCATCACTGTGAGAGCAACTGCAGTGAACATGCAGCTGTCGGGCGCGCCCAAGCCGTGCCCCTTCTGGCCCTTGACACGTGGAAGATATTCGTTATCATGTGCAGCTTTCATCGCGGTGTAGATGGGGTCGGACACCTTGATCGTGAACTGAGTGGTACAGGCCGACTCGAGGAGGCGGTTCCTCTGGGAGTTAATGACGCTCATCTTGAGCGCGAGGTCTGCTTTCTTCTCGGTGGTGCCGTCCTCGACGGCGAGACGCTTGCGAGCCTGAACTCCTGGGTCGGCAGCAGCAGTGGAAGCGGGTTTCAGGCCCACTTGACCGAAGGTCGCAGCCCATTGCGGCGCAGCCATAGTTAGATCTCGAGAATATGTTCCTCCAACGGTACGTGTTGCCGAAGATGCCACTGAGCCTCCGAATAGCTAAGGAAAGAGACCTCACACAGCAGAAACTCGCAAGGAGGAGGAACAACGTGTGCAAATACTGTAGCGGAGCCTCTGGACCTGGGACACTTATTGTTAATCATACTACGCAGAAGGTGTTGGCTAGCAATCCTTTTGGTAGCATACATATTCCCACGTAAAATACACGCGTTCGATACAGTAACAACATTAGCACGTTCACGAATTCCATATGGTCAGGTAATCTATAGTTCGCTTGGTGCAGCAGTAGTTGACGCCTTGTGGGGAATACAGCGCTACAGATACCTTCCCCCTCCCCGAGGCTAAGGCCACAGACGAAGCCAGGGGGAGGGGGAGGAGGAGGAGGGGGAGGAGAGGGAGGGGAGGCCCCGCAGGCCTCCCAGGTCAGGCACAGCGGGAGTGGAGGGGACGGGCACCGGTCAGGAGGGGAAAAAAACACACAGACACAATTCATCGGCGATCCCCAAGAAAATGTGGGAAAATATTGGAATTGGGCGGGAAGACAAAAACCCAGAAAATATGGGAAAATATGGGGAATAGTTTGACTTGTGTGTCTTCATGTGTGTGTCCTGGGGCCCCTTGAACCAGAGGGGAAGGCATCGCCCCCCCGGTCGGCCCTTCGTCGCCCGCAGGGGCTCGAGAGCCCCACCCCGCCCAGGAACGCGGGGATCCACTGCCGCGGGCCTATCGCTGATCTATCGGCGAGGCATCGCCGATGCCAGGTCGGTG